TTAAGGAAAAGAATTCTTTTATATCTATTAAAAGAAGAGTAAACTGTAATATAATATTAAGAATATTATTAAAATTTAATTAATAAAGACTAGACTCTTTATATTTCTTATATATATTTTTTATCTTTTATACAAGAATCAGCCAGCTTAAAGTCAATTAATACTGTTATAATATAGCTATAGACTAAATTCTCTAATTCTATAATAGAAGAGCTTATCGAGTATATAGATAACTAAAAGAAATAATAGTATTATAGCTAGCTTATCCAATATACTCTATATTATCTTAATCTTTCTATTTCTGATAAATATATTTCTTGTCCGATAAATCAAATAGTAATATCTCTCAGCAAATTTGTTTATTTTTTTATATTATTATTATTTTAGATTAGAGATATTTTTCTAGAATCCCCAATTCTTCTTTCTAATGAAACTAACTACATTACATACACTCGCTTCCGAAAGAATGGCGTTCACCAAAGATGGCGAGCAGAACCGACATCCTTATCTGGCCAGTCAAACAAAGGATACTCCCAGGTAAACCACAAGGACACCAAGCGTGATACCAGATCGTCATCATCCGTGATCGTCGTCCAGGGTTTCGCGGGAACCTTGTATACAGGGGCATCGATGAGACGACGCACCTCGAGCACACATCGGGGAATCCAGGATGCATTACCCTCGTTCCCGTTGTCGTCCTCTCCTGAGGAACGAGAGAGCTGACCCCGAAACCACGCAGTTCGGGTGGGATTTTAATCTCTGCACAAGGGAAATATTGCTCCAAGAAAATTGCAATCTTACGGTAGGCTCAAGAACACCAAATATCTCAGCAGCTTGTAAATTTGACTTAATTTTCTGATTTTTGTAGGCAGAAATGGCGATTTCAATACACTTCTCTTTAGTATAAGGCATTATCTTATAAAAATGATGTTTAACGCGTTGATAAATGTTGCGGGAAATATTCGCAACTCGGTAGTTGACTACGTTACTAAGACCAGCGATTTATATATAAATAGGTTTGGTTAGACAACCTATGGGTTACCCTTGTGGATTTTGGGTTGGGTTGGGGTTTCGGGTCCAGACCTTGGACTCATGGTGTGCCAGCCGAAGTCTAATCTTAACCTATCTGTATCTAGGTGGGTTAGGTTATGCCAGCCTAGTAGAGATCGATTAAAAATATATAAAAGAAAATTTAAATATCCCTATAACAGTCCGTTTACCAAAGCCCTTTTTAATCGCTTTGCACCGGAACGTCAAACAGTATTTGCAGATTGAATCAAGTAATATGAGTCTACCCAATCCCATTGAAGAAACTAAAACAGAGGGGAACAAAAAGGGAAAATGCTATACAATACGCGGGATCGTTTTGCTTACCACTTAGATGGGCGAGGCTGCTGAATTTAGATCCAGATATTGATAGAAATCATCGTGTTCACTTTTTGCATCCATGAAAGAGGGCATTGTCATGCAGCTTGCGGGTATCTGACAGTAAAACACCGGCGATAACATTGGGTCATCGAATTGGTGATTGGTTATGTTGGATGGTTCCATCCTGCATATTTCATCAAAGGCATCGAAGCCACTGTTGGATAATTGCGACCGGCCGTGCGAAGTGATAGGGCTTACCGCTCCCTGTATCCATAGTGGTGCAATGTATAGGGGATTCTGAGGAAGTATTTGAGGTTCAGGCTTGATTATTGACGCCTGTGATATGAAGCTAGGAGGCATAGGAGGAAGTTTAGATGGTATGAAGGCGTCTCCAAAACACGAGTCTGTGGGAGGTGTTTGTGCGCTCTTTGAACCTCTGTTTGATAGATCCAGGTTTTGAAATCTCCCAGCGCTCTGCTCCCACAATTTCTGCTGCAGAGCCTCGGTATTTTCTTCAAAATAATTCTCTTTCATATGATCCAGAACGCCGAGCTGTGTGAGCAGATCATGTGTAAGTGGGTGACCATCTTGTCTGCACTTCACTAGATTATTTTGCGGGCGTTCCCCTTCGCTAGAAAGTTGATATAATTTCTGAAGGCCATACACAAGCCAAGTCTGTTGCTGCTCTAGCATCTCAACATACCTGTATACGCAAGGTATACGTTAGCAAAACTCACGTCCTATTTGTCACATCTCAAAAATAAAAATAGAACAAAAATACAAAAAACAAGGCAATCGCTAAAGATTGGTGCTCACCCCTTGGGGTACAATCTTCCATGATTGGGAGCTCTCTTCCTCTCGCCAAAGACACAGATAGAATTATCTGCCCTACACCGTCCACAAGGTGTAGTACCATCGCACTGTAGCGGTTTAGGGCGTTAAGGAATGATGATGTATTAGACTGTGGCTTGCTTACCTTTGACTTCTTTAATCTACATCGATCACATGCCTTGCTTACCCTTTTGCGAAGATTGCTATCCGAACGTGAATGGCATGAGGTGGTTGATGATTGACGTGCGTTCATTATATACTATTGAAATAGTCAGCTAGACAAAGCACCGTTGACGAAGCGAGAGAATCAAGGCATCTGTTTAACTGGAAGGCGGATAACAGAATTTCCTGCTGTTTTCACGATGGAAGCTAAGGGTGTTCGACGATACAACGAACTCGTCGAACGGTGGATGGGGGACGGAAGGAAGCGAAAGGAAAGGAATAGAGTTACGTACCAATATAGATGTCCCAGATGGAAAATTAATTGATTTTAAGCCGACTTAAGATACTGGAGTAGCTGGCTATAGTTATCGATGAAGGCAAAGAGTCGACAGTTTTGTGTACATCGAAAGGCGATGTTGATGTTAATTGGGTTTATAGTACACCATAGAAGTTAAATGGTTGTTGGGAGATTGACTACTACCTACAAACCGTAAACAAACGAGTGATATCAGCATTATATGGGTTGAAAGTAGTCATGGTCGTGCCGCAGCTGCAAATAAATCCACTGCCGTTTTTTTCCGTTCTACCTGACGCGCCGTACGTAGCAGGGCCCAGAATGCCCAAAGAGGAAAAAAGAAAGCCAGGGTAGCTTTCTGCGGTGATTTTGGTACTTGATAGTTATTGGTAAAAGTGGTAATTCCCTTCCCCACCCCACTACACACTAACCTACTAACATCCTATCCGCCAGTACCCGTCGCGGGCGGGGCAATTTTCCTGTCTAGGTTGGTTATGCTTGCCGCCAAGGTATAGGGTGAATGCAATGAGGTTAATCCATTCTGCACAAGTTGATCGGCGACGACAATCAGATCCAGCCAAGGACAAGGATACATACCCCTGATAAGGTAATTTGGCAGCTAGTAATTGAACACACATTGAACATGCCAAACATAAAGAAAACCAAAAGCAGCAACATCCTGGACCTGCTCTGAGATTGAGAGATCGAATACACAGGAATAGCGTGCGTATCAGTAGAATACGATCGAGCTTAGGAGAACAACAATTATGACGGCTTCTTACATGCTTCGACCTTGTGCCGAGATTTTACCGAGATGCAACCGAGATTTTGTGGATAATGCGTGATTTAATAATTTCTACGACACTTCCTCTTAGAGAGTTCCGCTTCGAATTGATCGGCTTCCATATCCGAATAGCTCGGATGGATGATTAATGGAAACAACTATAATGCCTGCTTAAGATGAAATAAGCTTACGTTACTAGGCAGACGGATCTTGGCTCTTGATTATCAAGGTAGTCACTTACGCTAGATTCAACAGAATAGCCTACGACAGGAATGGTTCGCCGCCACATACTAGAGGGAGGAAACATATGTTAATGTAATGCTGAATGTTACATTATGTTATGCAGTGTTTCTATAATCCTAGCAAAAGCTATTTCGATTTATACACAAGTGGGTGGATGTCAGCAGTAGGAAAGTAAAAAAGCTCCTTGAGTTCGTTCTCATTTTCCAAAACGTCGTGGAGTATAGAGACCACCTCGTAGAATTCAAGATAAGTAAGCGATCACCGTATTATCGTTCGTTATCTTATCCTTTAGCTAGAGGTCCAGGTACGTCATCGACTACCAGGTTCACAATATTACCCAAGATGGAATACAGAAGTCGGAGGGCCCAAGGACCAGAATTTCAGCACCTCCTGTTCCTGTTCCCAGGCCCTAATGTACTGCTTAGAAGACACCTATGGTTAATTTTAGCAAACAACTTTTCCGCGTAAGCGGATGGAACTAACTATTCTTAGGCGGTTAATTATCATCAGTGAGTGGTCAATGCAGCCTAATTAGGGTTCTGATTCGAGTCGAGTCAAGCTCTCGGCCTCTTCTACAGAATTGTGATCTCTGCCTAAAGCCCTCGTGCTTGACTCGTCTCTGGTTTACTGTATGAGTCTAAATGATTATGCTTCTGCATGGGAGAATCAGAATCGTCTTATAATTTTCCGTCGTTTTAATCTGAGACACTTGAATGATGAGTTGACACTGCAGCTTGGACTTGCTACAGCTACATATACCTTAATTCAATACATGTTGATATGGTTTTCGACGCCTAGGCTGATTGCAACCGGGGATAGTTTACTTGAGAGTCCAAAGCAGTCTGTACATCGCGGCATTATTCCCGATTAGTAAATTCACCCCTATCGCCCACCCCGTCCTCCCTGATTTTCCCGATTAAAGGTGAGTACCTCCAAAAGCTATAGTAGCTTCTCCACTATTGACCTAAGAAGGCGGATCTTTGCGCGATATTCCAACATTCTGATAAGAAGTAAGCACTTGGTTCCTTGTCTCCGGGGCCACACCCGCCGAAACTCGGCTGTGAGTGCCTCCCACATAGCAGTCGCTGCATGTAGAAGGTATGAGTAGGTGTGGATACACTAGTTACTAGTAATTACAACCACTGTAGCACGTAGATTCTAAATTTGGCTTTGCTCTAGAACATCGGCCTACGTATATATATATGTCCTTTCCCTCCCCTGAAGCCCTGGTTAGTCGAATGTACATTCCATATCTTCTTCTAGTTCGACAAAATCTAAATCCCTTCGTTGCTCACGATTACCTCTTCTTCTCGCATCATGGAGAATCCCGACAACGATCCTCTTGACTCGAGGGCGCCCACGGAATGTGGTGACTATGACAAGGATGCAGACATGGAAAAGGAAACCCTCACAGTGCCTGACATCCGAGAAGCCGCCAGCGCCGAGACCCTTATAGTCCCAGGCACTAGCAACGCTGTCAGCACAGAAACCATCGCCTCGCCCGATTCTAACGACATCATTTCAACACCCAGGAATGACCCAGGATGGGGCATGACAGATCATGTCATCTCGATAAAGGAAAGAGAGGAAGCCGCGGGTTACAAGCCACGACAATTGGGCATCACCTGGCAGAATCTGACTGTTGAGGTGCCATCTGCTGAGACTACAGTTAACGAAAATGTCATCTCGCAATTCAATATACCTCGAGTGATCAGAGGCTTTCTGCGAAAGCCGCCTCTGATATCAATCTTGCAGGGTAGCCATGGTTGTGTCAAGCCTGGTGAGATGTTGCTGGTTTTAGGCCGGCCTGGTTCTGGGTGCACAACGCTGCTCAAGTTGCTTGCTAATACGCGTCGGGGATACTATAATATTAACGGAGACATAAGGTTCGGCAGCATGACTAGTGACGAGGCCCAGAAGTACCGAGGGCAAATTGTTATGAATACTGAGGAGGAGCTCTTCTACCCCCGGTTGACGGTGGGTCAAACTATGGACTTTGCAGCGCGGCTTAAGATTCCCTTCCATCTTCCGGATGGAACAAAGTCAAAGGCAGACTACACAGCTGAGACCACCAAGTTTCTGCTGGAGGCAATGAAAATTTCACATACCGTTGATACAAAGGTGGGAAATGAATATGTCCGCGGTGTTTCTGGTGGAGAGAGAAAGCGTGTTTCTATCATTGAATGTATGGCTACTCGAGGCTCTATCTACACCTGGGATAACAGTACCCGTGGTCTGGATGCTAGTACAGCACTAGAATGGGCAAAGGCTCTTCGAGCCATGACCGACGTTCTTGGGCTTTCCACAGTTGTTACCCTCTACCAGGCAGGTAACGGAATTTACAACCTGTTTGACAAAGTCCTTGTTTTGGACGAGGGGAGGCAGATCTACTATGGACCGGCAGCTGCTGCAAAAAGGTTTATGCAAGACCTGGGATTTGTGTATACTGACGGTGCCAACGTTGGTGAGTTGTCCTACTATTCTCCCCTGGAAGAAACAGTCGTATTGATTTATTAATGCTAGGGGACTTTCTGACTGGTGTGACTGTCCCAACCGAGCGCCAGATCAGACCAGGTTACGAAAGCCGATTTCCTCAAAATGCAGATGCCATTCTAGCTGAGTACAAGAATTCGCCAGTCTATCAACGTATGATCGCAGAATACGACTACCCTAATAGCGATATCGCCCACCAGCGAACTGAAGACTTCAAGGAATCCATCGCCTGGGAAAAGTCAAAGTATCTACCAAAGAACAGTCCGCTAACAATTAGCTTCTGGAGTCAAGTCGAGGCTTGCACGATTCGTCAGTATCAGATTTTATGGGGCGACAAGTCAACTTTCCTGGCAAAGCAGATTCTGTCAACAATTATGGCTTTAATTGCAGGTTCCTGCTTTTACGACTCCCCTCCAACATCTCTGGGTCTATTTACCAAGGGTGGTGCCGTCTTTTTCGCTCTTCTTTATAATTGTATTGTGGCCATGTCTGAGGTCACTGAATCCTTCAAAGGTCGTCCGGTCTTGCTGAAGCACAAGTCATTCGCCATGTATTACCCAGCTGCATTCTGTCTAGCTCAAATTGCTGCCGATCTTCCCGTGTTGTTGATCCAATGCAGTACATTCTCAATTGTGATATATTGGATGTCCGGCTTAAGGCATACAGCAGCCGCGTTCTGGACCTTCTGGATTATTTTGTTTACTGTTACCCTAGTAAGTTCCTTTATTTGCTAAAGACCCTGGAGTCTCTGGCTTCTTTTTCCCTCTTCCTGCTTCACATTTTCTATTTTATTATGGCATCCACTAATGATGATGATATAGTGTATTACTGCTTTGTTTCGTTGTATTGGAGCCGGATTTAGTACCTTCGAAGCCGCCTCAAAAGTCTCCGGAACTGCAGTCAAGGCCATCGTTATGTATGCCGGTTACATGATTCCTAAAGGCCAGGTCAAGAACTGGTTCCTTGAATTGTACTACACCAATCCGTTTGCCTATGCCTTTCAGGCCGCTCTCACCAACGAATTTCATGATGAGACCATCCCTTGTGTCGGCAATAACCTAGTCCCGAATGGTCCTGGCTACGAAAACGTGCCTCGGGTCATAAAGCCTGTACGGGTGTTGGTGGAGCCGCTCTTGGTGCAGACTTTGTAACCGGTGATCAGTATCTCACGTCATTGCACTACAAGCATTCACAGCTGTGGAGGAACTACGGTATTGTTTGGGCTTGGTGGGCATTCTTCGCAGGGCTTACTATTATTTGCACCTCATTCTGGAGTGATGGAGGCGATGCTGCTTCCCTATATATACCCCGCGAGAAAGTCAAGCATGGGGATAAGTCAGATGTTGAGGCGCAGAAGGAGAAGAATCCCAACCGTGGTGCAGGCAGCAGAGTTTCAGGCCCGGAAGATGAACATTTAACCCGGAACACGTCCATTTTTACCTGGAAGGATCTTACATATACGGTCAAAACTCCAACTGGAGACCGAGTCCTACTGGATCAAGTGTGTGGGTGGGTAAAACCGGGCATGCTTGGTGCGCTGATGGGCTCCTCAGGTGCTGGAAAGACAACACTACTTGATGTCCTTGCTCAGCGTAAAACAGATGGATCAATCAAGGGATCAATCATGGTTGATGGTCGGCCATTACCGGTTTCATTCCAGAGAATGGCAGGATACTGCGAGCAACTAGATGTCCATGAGCCCTATACCACCGTCCGTGAAGCACTTGAGTTTTCTGCTCTTCTTCGTCAGTCTCGGGATATACCTAAAGACGAGAAGCTCAAGTATGTCGACACCATTATCGACCTTCTAGAACTTCATGATCTTGAGAATACCCTGATTGGTACTGTAGGGAAAGGCCTTAATATTGAACAACGAAAACGTGTTACTATTGGAGTCGAGCTGGCCTCTAAGCCAGTATTCTAATCTTCTTAGATGAGCCTACATCAGGTCTTGATGGCCAGTCTGCATACAACACAGTCAGATTTCTGCGGAAACTTGCAGATGCTGGTCAAGCTATCCTAGTCACTATTCACCAGCCCTCTGCTCAACTCTTTGAACAATTCGATACCTTACTACTTCTGGCTCGGGGAGGAAAGACAGTTTACTTTGGTGATATTGGTGAAAACGCTGCAACAATCAAATATTACTTTGGAAAAAATGGCATTGAATGTCCACCAGAATCCAACCCAGCTGACTTTATGATTGATGTTGTTACTGGTAGTCTGGAAGCTGCTAAGAACAAGGACTGGCACCAGATCTGGCTAGACTCACATGAGCACACACGCATGATAATTGATCTGGATAATATGATTGCCGAAGCCGCTTCTAAACCTTCTGGAACTTATGATGATGGCTACGAGTTCTCCATGCCTTTGTGGGAGCAGATTAAGATTGTGACGAAGCGTATGAACATCTCCTTGTTCCGAAACACCAACTATATCAATAACAAGGCTTCACTGCATGTTATTTCTGCTCTACTGAATGGGTTCTCCTTCTGGCGAATTAGCCCTAACTTGTCTGCATTGCATCTAAAGATGTTCACAATCTTCCACTTTGTCTTTGTTGCCCCTGGTTGTATCAACCAACTACAACCTCTCTTTCTCCAACGCCGTGATATTTACGATGCCCGGGAGAAGAAGTCAAAAATGTACTCGTGGTTTGCCTTCACTACCGGTTTGATCGTATCTGAGTTTCCTTACCTAATCATATGTGCCGTGCTCTACTTCCTCTGCTGGTATTACTGTGTCCGGCTCTTTCCCCATGACTCGAACCGATCTGGGGCGATGTTTTGGATTATGATGTGGTTTGAATTTGTATATACTGGTGAGCCTTTTCCCATCATACACTCCTCACCTTGCTCTGGATAAGTATTTGTTAACAGGTTTGTTTTTGCCTCCAGGAATTGGCCAGTTCATTGCCGCTTACGCCCCCAACGCTGTGTTCGCTGCGCTTGTCAATCCCCTTATAATCAGTATCCTGCTGCTATTCTGCGGTGTTTTTGTGCCCTACACTCAACTCAATGTCTTTTGGAAATACTGGCTGTACTATTTGAACCCATTTAACTACGTTGTGGGGGGTATGTTGACCTTCGGTATCTGGGATGCTCGAGTGACCTGCAACGAGGATGAATTCGCCGTGTTTGACCCACTTAATGGAACTTGTGGCGAGTACCTAGCCGCTTTCATGGCTGGGAACGGGCAGAGAATTAATCTGACCAACCCCAACGCTACCTCACAATGCAAGGTGTGCGAGTTCCGATCTGGAAGTGACTTCCTGGCAACCCTCAACATTAACCACTACTATGTGGGGTGGAGAAACGGCGCCATCACTGTTCTTTATGCAATCAGCGGATATGCATTGGTCTATGGACTGATGAAGTTGAGAACTAAGGCCAGCAAGAAGGCCGAATAAGTCCCAATTCCTCCTTCCTCCCTTGCCCCGCTTTTTCACCTTTGTCCTTTATTCTCTTTCGATTACCTCATTTGAACCAATAGACGCTGTCAAGTAACCATGGAGATAATTGTTCCGTCTCCTCACTCGTTGCTTTTTGCCCTTACCATTATAGACTTTCTCTTAAGCTTCTTCAGGACCCATGAATAGGCCCAAGCCCAACCGCTAGGCCCACGAAGGGGCCCCCAAAGCCTATTTTTGTATAAAATCCAGGTCTTGACAATGATAAAGCTGCTAAATCAGCAAGATAAAATACTGTTTTTAACTCTGTTTTGGTTTATATAGATTGGCGTATGTCTAGCTTAGGTTAGGTTAATGGGGTTGGTGGCAACTTGCTCCTATACAAGCTTGACGGGAAGTTTACGTTCGATAAACGATACTCCATATTGTGTAAGTAATGGCAAAAATAAAATCAGACGACCATCGGTCAGACGTGTTGGTTATTATAATATATATTTAATTTAATAATATATTATTAATGAGATCAGGAAACTGGAAAGTGGACTACGTCACAAGTCGATGACGAGACTTTTGCCTGGGACCAAATGCAGGCGCGGTTCAAAAGACTGGAAACGTTTGCTGGCACAATTGAGGTCCCAGAAAACCAGAAGTATAGTCAATCGGAATCCGGAGGCTATAATAACAAAGATAGCCTGCACATTAGCTATATCAAAGACTGGGATTCAGATTTAACAACAGTACTGGATATATTCGAAGCAGCCGGGATCCAACAGAATTTTAATTATAATTTTGGTAATTCTCTTAGACTTGTACTTTATATTAATTCTGTTTCAAAGAGTATATAATCAACTGCTGTTGATCTGTTAATTAATATTTTAAATAATTTAGTTATTTTCTTCAATAGTCTACACCCTAGTACCTGGCACTTGTACCGTTGAGTGCGGTTTCTCGGTCCCAGATTAGCTACATTTTGGTATTCCTGCATACACCCGTCGGGGAAAGTATATAACAGTCTATCTGTCTCTCCGCAAAAGCAATCCAGCGCCTCGTTATCTCTATCAGTCAGTTGGCGTTAGCGACTCGGGACAGGGGACTAGAAGAGACAAAAACTACTATCTATTCTGGGAAGATATTGCGGAGGATATAGTAAGATACAGAAAAATAGAATACAATACAACTCCCGGGATATAGATTATACTACTGAGTATTATAGATTATAAATCCAAGTATCTATATAGTATACCCCGGGAATAAAAAGAATAGATTTAAATTCTCTTATTATTAATTAATTAATCTTCTTTTTTTTTTCTTCTCTTTCAATTGTATATAGAATCTATATAATCAGATTAATTAAAAATAGATCTCTTTTTATACAATACTATCTACTATATCTAGATCTATATTTTCTGCCAGTATACACTCTGCTTCTATTATCTAGTAATCTATCTCTGTCAGTACTATATAATATATCCGACTGCTGCAATACCCAAGTTCTGTAAGATAGTATTAATAGCTATACTTCAGTAACTATAATTTAATTCTATCTAGAAAATCTATATATATCTGCTATCCAGCAGTTTCCCAATCCAGAGTCTATCTATTTTCTCTGGAATCGGGTACTATTACTGTTACTATATCTATCGGTTAATTAATAGTCTACAGAACTATATCGGATATATATATCCGGAGATAAGACAGATCGATAAAAAATAGAGATTTTCTATCACTGCAGTAAAGTTGCTGAATTGACTAATTTTTTATCAGTAATTTTTTCTCTCTATAGCTGGCAGTCTCTTTTTCAAAATCCAATTATCTAGATAGAATAGATAGCTCTTCCAGCGGCCCCTTAAAATAAATTATACAGTATTTATCTAAGTATAGATAAATCTAGAGTTTAACTGTGATCTAGCAGTTAATCAGATTAACAATCAGTAGATCTCCACTCTATATAACCGCACAGAGATTTTTTTGTAACTAAAATTAATATAGTAGTCTAAATATCTTTACAGCTATTTCTTTTCTACAGTAGCCACCCTGGCAGCTCTATTCTATCTATATTAGAAGCCGTTGCTGATACAATTTATCTAGAGTATTATTCGACTGATCGACTGTATATACTATATAATTGAGAATCACTATATAAATAAATTTAACTAAATTCAGATTAACAGTTTCTATCCGCGGTCTGATATCTAGAATTGTCTACTCTAGATCTATCTAAAACTGTTAATATATTAATAGTACCGGTAGATATAGTAGTATTTTATCTATTTTATCTACTGTATCAGCTATCTTGATCAGACTATTATTCTCTGCTATTAGCTGACTATAGCCTAGTTGGCTGTTCTCGATTATATAATAGCTACTGTCTAATATCTTCTATAGAAGAAGAACAGCTTATAGATCACTGTCTATATCTAGATTAACTAGATATATCTAGATTTCTCGATTATTTTTCTTAACTATTTATTAAAAAAAGATCTTTTCAAGAGTATAATTATCAGTTTTCTGATAGTACTGGATATTAATACTGCTAACCGGATCTTCTACAAGCTATATAGATATACAGGCTATCTATCCAGACTAATAAAAATAGTACAGATACTGATAGTTAAGTAGATAGTCTAGATAGCCGATATCGATAAGATAGTATATTCAGTAGATATACTAGATACTATACAGAAGTACTTTCTTATCTACAGTATCCGGATATTCTTCGGCTGGATAGCCCATCTGTATATATACAGGAAGAAGATACAGAATATTATTACAAATTAGAGATATATCTACTGAAGCAAGAATAAGTAGATACTAATATATAAAAAGCTGCGATTAACAATAACAGAACTACAATACTTTGTCTAGACAGAGACAGAGATAATATAGATTAATCTCGAGAAGCTATTTCTGATCTGTACAGAGAAGAATAAGATACGCGAGACAGTAGTTCTACTGCTCTAACTCAGCAAGTTACAAAATAATCTGATAAATAACCACCGGGGATAGAACTTCCTACAGTATATACCCAACCGGGTCATACTCGCAATAGGTGGGCCCCGTTGGCTGATGAATCGGGTGCTGACAGACCAGGAGCTCCTGCTGGTCTACCTGACCGCGGGCCAGCCAGGACGGGCGACAGAGCTGCTCAGCCTGCGGTATATCAATACTGTCCATAGCCGCTATTGCAATCTCTTTATCGAGAATAGTCTTGTCAACACTGTCACAGTATATCACAAGGGCTACTCGGTAAGTAACTCTACTAAGATTATCTACTACTATCTTCCCTGTCCGGTCAGCGAGCTGATAGTATACTATCTCTAGCTAGTCCTATCCTTTGTGTAGATACTGAAATAATAACTGTACAGCTGCTAGAGTAAGATCTCCCTCTTTCTCTAGCTGCGCGGTGAGAGAAGCTGGGATCCGGATTAACTGTATACTGTTCTATAGCGGGAGATCCAGAGTTAGCTATAAATAAAGATAAATATTCTCTTATATTATTATACTGCTATTGCTATCTCCCAGATCTATCTTAAGTATAGTAGCTTTAAATATAACTATAATATTAATCAGCCGGTATACAATAAATAGATTAACTATAGTTTCTGAACAGCGGGTACAGTATATATATAAGATCTATAGAAAGTATCTGGCTATATAGAGATATAATAACAGTAATATTGTACTGTCAGCCGGAAGTAATATAGTTTTCTTAGATTCAAAATATATCTGGATCCCTGTAAATAATTAATAAAGCAGACCGCTACAGTAACTGAGAAAAGACCCGCGGCAAAATATCTCTGGATAGTAATTACAATAGATCCAGATCTAGTTATAGAGTATACAGAGAAAATAGTAAAATTAAACTAATCTAGAATAGAGTATAGTAATAGAATAGCTATAGTAGAGACTTCGGTATATATTATAATATATAGACAATTTAATTTCAATAGTATATAGATCTGATAATAACTAAGTATATTACTCAGATATCAAGTCCAGTCCAGATTAATATCTATAGATAGTCTTATTTTATAGATCTATCTTATTAGACTGGCATTTGGCCAGGTTAGGTTAGGTTAATAGGGTCAGTTATACCTAACCGCTAGGTTATGACTAGATTAATAGAATTTCTATACCTAACCACAGTTAAGCCAAAAATTGGACAGTTAATCTAGATTAACTGTACTTAGCACCAAGACTATTAATCTTTATCAAATATAGTAGACGGTAAACTAGATTAACTGTAATTAATCTAATATTAATCTTACTATCTTAACCGACTATAAAAATATATTATTAACAATCTTAAAAAATCCTGTTTATTGATTTTATATAAAAAGAAAATATATTTCTTATTAAAAATCCTATCAAAACTGTTATTTTCGATAGTTAAGATAGTATTTTAGCTAATTTTAGTTTTAAGCAGCTGTATATAGAGAATATATAATTAAAATATATATAAATATAACTATTATTCTATTATATAATAGC